GATACAAAACTAGTTTCATTGATAAATACATGAATTAATTTATTTGATGATAGTGGTAGAAGTAAGTAGTTGTTTTGTTTAAGGAAAAATTGAAAGTAATAATCCCAATTCCAATTACTAGCGGTCCGCTCATAATAATCCCAACTATCGATTATTTCAGAATAATTCCAACTTTAGGGACTTTCTGCCAACAATGGTCCTTATAAATAAATTTCTGTAGTTTCTAAAGTGGATGAGAAGAAATATACCAAATAATCCTTATAAATAATCTCAACTTTTAATTTTTATGCTTAATTTCTATTTAAAATTCACTTGTGATAGGAGGTAATATCTGGTCATGGACCATTATTGGCGAATGGTCCATATAGTTGGGATTATACAAAAATAATCAATAGTTGGGATTATTGTCAGCGGACCGAAAATAGTTGAGATTATTATTTTCAAATTTTCCTTTGTTTAATTATTCATTGTATTTATAAGAATAGAAGTTTTAGGTTTTCTGTTAATTAATTGATTTGTTATGTTATTGATTGATTTTTATTTATTTTAATTATTTTTTCATTGTATCTATTCATTGGAGTGATGTTATTACCGATTTTGCACTTCAAAATAGAGTTTTTTCCCTGACAGGGACACTTTGAAATCTTATTTCCCGAAATAAGGCAGTTTTAAACTTATTTCCCAAATAGAGGTATTTTTTCCCTGTCATCACGCCATGTCATCACCCACCTTAATTTCTATTTCCACGTCACTGACCCTCCACATAACATTTCCATGTCATCACAAAGACTATATATGGTCTGTGTAAAGTAATAAAAATAAATCAGGGCTAGGGAGATTCGAACCCATGCCAAATAATCTAGAAATATATGCCATAAACCACTACACCACACCAGCTCCTTGTGACAATTTGGGATTTACGTATGTTTTCATTCATTTTGTTCCATGGATGTTTAATTAAAACTAAAGGCTCCTCCATATAATAATAATAATAATAATAACAATAATAATAATAATAAAAAATAATAATAGAAATAATAATAATTATTATTATTACTATTATTGTTATTTTTTATTTTTATTATCACTCCTTCAAAATACAAAAAGAATATGTCAATAGGGTGTTACAAGAACAAGTCTGCGTGCGAGGTATTTTGCATATGTTTGCATCATTGCATTTAAAAACTTATCCTTATGAATATTAAAAATATTATACCATACACTTGAATATGTTTTTTCCATATGGTGTTTTTATTCAATTTATCTCTTTTCAGTAGGATTTTTGCGCGGTAAGTTTTTTTTGTGTAGGGCCTCCGAAATGCTAAAGACGCCCTGAATGTATTCCATCAATATCTAGTCAGAATTAAAACTAATAATGTGATTTAAGAAGATATAGGGTCCGTTTGGAAAGGAGCGGATTACCCAATCCACTATTGTTTTTATACTTAGAAACGCTGCTTTTTGCAGCGGGAGGGTATCAATCTACTTATCTACCATAAAACAAACGAGGCCATATTGTGCTTCCTCTTCTAAGAGTGAACATTATGTTTTAATTGATCACACTACAAGAATAAAAATAAGATCGCATGGAGCCCATACCATACATTCTATGACAGTTGTTCTTAACTCTACCTAAGCTATTCAAAACATGAGATGATTTATTTTAGGGGTGGGGTAATTTGAGTTTGCACCCCATTTTATTGTCTAAATTGGACTTTGCACCCTATTTTTAAAAAACTTTGTCTTTGCACCCCAACCTCATATGAAAACACAAAAATGCCCTCCATTAATAATTTTGTTGGCCTTTAATTTAACACATTCTTGATCCAGGGGCATTTTTCTCTTTTCATATGGGGTTGGAGTGCAAAAACAAATATTTTTAAAAACGGGGTGCAAAGTCCAATTTTGACAATAAAATGGGGTGCAAACTCAAATTATCCCTTTATTCTAATAGTTTAGGTAGAGGTTAAACAAAAGTTGCCCGACAGACCGATAAAGTTTCCTAGCCAATCCTAGCATACCGTGTTGAATTTAAGACCAGCTTTACACTTAGGCTAATTGGTAATTAATTGTTTCGTCAATGAATCAAATTCTCTATTAATTTACACATATTTATTAAGACAATTCAGTTTTATCACGTAATTCAGTACCATGAATATATTCGCCTATATATCACTTTTTTTTTTATTTAAAGTCATACTTTTATTATTACGTACTATATAGGAGTATCATTCTTTTTCCATTTTGAAAAGTCAAACATTCCAATATAAGAGTAAATAAATTTGGAATTTAACTTTTTCTTGTTACTTCATATCTATATTTAAAAAAATAATAGATAGATGTAGAAAATGGTTGGCTCACTATGCCGAAAAACTTTTGCATAATGGAAAAAACTGTGGCCGTGGTTTTTAGCAACAGTTTCAAAATTGTTGCAATGTAAGCCGTTGCCTATACATTTGGGAACAGTTTTGATACTGGTGCGCACAGGTTCGAATATACCCTCACGGGTAGCTCAGTTGGTCGAGTGGTGGGAAATTTCGATCAATGGACCAATGTTCGAATCCCCTCAGCGACCGGGTGGAGGTTACGGAACTTGAAATAAGGCTGGACCTCTGGTGCGCACGAGTGTATGACCTACTGCCACTTTGCTGATTGAGTCACCGTGACTTACTCCTTCACCATCCTGTCGGGTCGGGGTAGGGGTGGACTCGGGCCGGTTCGGGCCCGGTTCGGGCCTGGGCCCGGCCGGGCCTCGGGCTAGGAAAGTTGGGCCCGAGCCCGAACCGCCGGTGGGCGGTTCCGGTCCCGGTTCCGGGCCAAACCGGGCCGGGCCTAACCGGTTCTAATTTTTTTTTTTGGCTCTTCTATTTAACCTCCAACCCCTCCCCCTCAACCCCAAACCACCCCAAACCACTCAAATGGCCCAAAATACCTAATCCAACCCAAAACTTAAAAAAAATTCAAAAAAAAAATTAAAAACCGGCCCGAACCGGCCGGGCCGGTTCACCAAAAACTGGGCCCGAGCCCGGACCGCCCAGCAGCCGGGCCGGGCCGAACCGAACCGGTGGACCCACCGGGCCCCGGGCCGGGCCGGGCCGGGCCAAACAGTAACCGGTCCGGTTCCGAGCCGGGCCGCCCGGCCCGAGTCCACCCCTAGGTCGGGGCGTGGGGGCTCCTGGGGTGGGAGATTCTACCTTTTGGATCAATTGGGAACAGTTTTGATATTTAAAGGCAACATAATGGGAAAACCGTACTCATAGAGTATAGGTTAGAGAACAATTAGAAACTGTAGGACAACATTTTTTATATGTTTCTATCAATATTAACAATTAGAAACTGTTGCAAAAAAAAAATACAAACATTTTCTTTAAAAATTGCTATAAAGCACCACTCTTTTGAATACTAATATTTTAAAAAGTACCCCGTAGTGTTTATTAAATAATTTCATTTGGAATAGAGTGGGAATTCAACTTCAAGAATAATCACTCCAAAATAACAGTTCAACATTATTATACGTAATATAATATCAACATCCAATGTCTTTAACTACTAAATCATCACAATAGGAGTGTCTTAACTATGAACTTAAAATGAAAACAACATGCAACAAAAAGTAAACAAACTTCATTAAATCACTAGATTTAATTAGCTTGAAAATCATGACCAAAACCAATCACTTGTTTCAATTTCATGCAGTTTTTAATGCTAAAAATTTAATTTCAAACCATTCTTCACAAAGAAAACTTAGACCTTTTTTTATACTCGAAGGGACTTGAGGAGTCTCGAGTAATCAAGGCCGAAACTCACTCAATTGAGTTTTAAACTCGAGACCTCTTGTAAGGAAGAGTGAGTCGGCGACCAGCTGAGCTGGACCGCTTCCTCAAAGAAAACTTAGACCATTTGCACAATAAAAAATCAAAGTCACCGTACCAAACTATATATACAAGGAAATCAAAATTGATTTCATTGGTGCGCGCCTATAGTACTCTAACTAATATAGCATAAAACTCAGGTTCTCTAAAAGGCATCGCTACTACACTGGGGAAATCTAGGAGTGAGCTCAAAGAAAAAAAACAGCTTAAAGTATCTGGTATTTGATTAAAGTTAAGTTTGGGTTTCCCACTTGTCAGGATAAAAAAGGATAGTCAGTCCTTTGGTTTTCTATAAAGAAAATATCTAAAATGGGAATCAAGCATAAATATAATCATTTGTGCATATTGTTCTCTACAAAAGAGTTTCAATTTAGCGTAAATTAAAGGCCAATTTCCATCAACAATTTCATCAAGTTTTAGAAAAACTAAAACATAAAAATGCCAAAGATAGCTAAGTATTTCAAAATCCTAAATGAAAACAATTGGTGTAAACTGCAATTTCATTCAACAGATATATTTTCCATAAGATATAAATTCATCTTAATTCTCATAATTTTTTACTTATCAGTGGACTGAATAGCAACACATAAACAGGGCCGGCCCAAAGCATGTGTGGGCAGCTCAACCGCACAGGGCCCAGAATAAGTGAAGGCCCAAAAAAATTAAAAAATGAGTAGTAGTATAACTAGAGGTCTAGAGGCCAATGAAGAACACCAACCCAACTGCTGCCATTATTCTCCTAGCACAGTTGCACGGAAATGTGAACTTAAATGATTAATATATACGGAGTAGTTATTAATAAGCCACAACTGGCACTAGTAGAAAACTGTCTTATAGTGACACTTTTGTAGTGACACTTTTCTCTATAGTGTCATGCATAGACGACATATAGTATTAGCGATACTAAAGTGTCATACGTTTGTGACATAAAAACGTCAATACATAAAGTGATACAATATAAAAAAATTGCAAAATTTTATCCAAAACAAAATTTTCACTTTTCATTTCCCTACATGAAATTTACTTCCCTCCATTTATTTTTACTTCTTACTTCGTACAGTATTTCGTATGACAGCCCATCCAATAAAATAATTCAGATAAACCACACACATTCTATATTCCTTCACTCAAAAAACCCAGACCAATAGTAACCCTAAATAATAAACCACCCAATCTCTATTCCTTCCCCACAACGATGAACACTCCTAAGGCAGGCCTTTGATAGATTCTCGGCGAATAACCTTCGCCGCTGCTTAGCATGCGATTGTCACAACACTGCGGCGCCGATAAATGGATCGGAGTAGGAGGCTGAGGGACCCGTCTTGGTCTGCGATTGTGGCGCGGCGTAGAGGAATCGAGCCCGGCGGAGTAACCGGTTTTGATCTGCGATTGCGGCGCGGCGCAGAGGAATGGAGCCGGGCGGAGGGACCGGTCTTAGTATGCAACCGGTGATTCCTTCAAGGTACTCTTATGTTGATTCCTTATTGGTTGGACTTGTATGGATTTCCAATCCAGCCTTTGCGCCTGAATGGCTTCTTCGTTCTCTTTGATATTTGGTTCACAATCTGTTTTATTAGCTGTTTTCAGTCGGATTTCTCTCCTAAAACCAATTCCGAGCTTGAATCTGGATTTGGAAGGGAGTTCGTCAGCCAAAGCAGACATTGTAGCGAAGATTGTACTGTTCACGTTGAGGTCGCATCTCATTCGTATTTCTCACATCTGAGCTTGATTTTGGACTCCAGGAGCGATTTGTGCCTCTCTTACTCCGAACGAAGCTTCCCAACCAGCAGCCGCACCAGTCATATTCTTTCTTTTCCAGAGGATCAATTGGCGGCATCAGTTTTTTTCTTCTCTTGAGAACCAACCGCACAAACAACTAGAAGTCCAAGTAGTTTTCTTCCTTCACTCCTGGAACTGCCGCAGCAGCAAGAACTAAACTTCATGTTTTGTTCAATTTCTCCCAATTCAATTTAGTTTCCAAAGTAATCATTGTAAGTTTAGTTATACTTTATATTACGTGTTCTCAATTTTGGATTGAATATCCAAGTGCTTTTTATCCAATTGCTAATTTCAGAATTTCTCAGATGGCAGGGACGACAGATTGCAGGAAACCCACCTACTGTTTGCAATATGATGTTTGCAATATTTGTATAATAGAAGATGAAATATTTCTTGTTCACTTATTCAGACAAAGAGAGCATCTGAAATCATTTTATTGATATTCATTATTAGTGCTGGACCATACGTGAACTACTATTAATGCTTCATGTTCTATTAGGCAATGCTTTTGATTCTTTGTTATCCTTAATCTAACCTTTTCTTAAAGAAGTTTCTGGATTGGTGTATGTACATGAATAATATTCTAGCTTTATACTTTTACTTTTACAGGTATGGGGTATGGAGTATAACCTATTGTGTTTGATACTTCGATTAGTGTGCTAACAATTGTTGTGCACTAATCTCTTTTGAGCTTGAAGTCCTATTTGTTTCCAAGCTATGTTCATGATTTGTTCAAATGCTGATAAGAAATGTGATACCACTAATGTTCCTGTACAATGGCGAAGCATAATTCACCTTACCCGTAATACATTAGAAATTTGCGGTTCTACTATTTTCTGTGTTTCTTAGATTCCTTAACGAAATAATTCTGAAAGTGTAATACTTGCTGCCGGTCAACAGTATGCTATAAACAATTTGCTTGAGATTCAGCTACCAATACTGACATACTCTAAAAAGACTACCAATACTGTTGGTAGTTCTGGAGACTATGTTTCTCAATTCTCATTGCTTAGCTATCATTCAATGTTGAAGGAATGAAGAGGACACGTGGACAGAGGTTGCAAAGTATTTTGATGGGAAGTCGTTGATAATGCTTGCAGCAACTTGAAAGTGGTTTCAACATGTCATAATGCGTGAGAGTGTCTGAAGCATGCTTCTTTGCGTGACCTTGAGGTTTTTTATCCTGGAAAAGTGGGCTGCAAATGGATCAAGCTATACGCTACAGCCTTCGGTAACTAACTACTTTCACTTAATACTTCCTAATAATCTATCCACTGACAATGAAATCATTTTTTTCAATCTGATGAATTGCTCAATTATTGGTAGATGTCAGTCATTCTTACATGTTCTGCCAGGCAGATAAGCAAATCCCCCTAAATAATATTCTTATCTGATCTTCTTGACTCAATTACACTTTTATTTACATAGAATAAAATCTTTTCCACTGTCATCAAGGCAGTATGATTCATCTCACTGATTTCTCTCTAAATATATGTATACCATGGCAGACTGGATGCCCATTGGAGCTTTTGTTTTCGATTCACAAGTTGCACTTCTCACAGAAAATGATGGAGCTGAATGGCAGATGCATGGTAAGCACTATCAGGCATGCCGGTAAGGTCACTTCAATCCACTTCCACATAAAAAGTACTTCTCGACTAATTTTTCATTATATATGGAGTGGCATGTGGATTATAGATATTGATGTATACATATGCACAATATATTTTTCCCTGGGGGCTTCAGCCCTCTCTGTCTTCAAGTCTGCTTTTGCTTTAGCTTTATTTAAACTGAACGTGTATGTTCTGCTTAAGTTTGTTTTGGTTCATTTGTCATCTGGATTAGTTTCATTAATTTTAGTCAAATTCAAGAGGTTCTAATCTGAGTTTGGATTTGGCTTCTAATGCTAGATGCCACAAGAGTTTTAGGAGCAGGGGAACCTGATATTAATGCATGCATAAAGCAACCTTCACATAACTTGTAAAATTTGAAGTACAAAAACATCTTATAAATCATACTAAGTTGTACTAAGTTGAACTAGAGTGAGATTACTGTAATGTCTACTGTAACGTCTACTGTAATTTCTACTTTGCAGGTGAAGTATGATAGAAGCAAGTGAGGTTTCAAACGACGAAGTTGGTTGCATAAGATCTGGTTTCATTCTGTGCAAGTCTGCAAAAGAAGATATGTGAAGGCCCTAGGAAGTGTGGTGTAAAAGTTAGACTTGTTAGTGTTTTGTTCTTGTATATTAGTTGTTTCGGGGTGTGTCCCCATGAATTATGTAGTATTTACATTCACATTTACGTGAGAAATTGAGATATAAATAAAAGTATTTGAATTATGGTTATTAATTAGTATTTTTTTTTTGAAGGGTTATTAATTAGTATTAAATTATATTACATATATATATATATATATATATATATATATATATATATATATATATTGAAATATATAGTCTTATGATACTAATGTATCATATATCTTTATGATACCAGAGTGTCAAAAAAAGTTATGATATTAAAACGTCATAATTTTATGTGATATTTTATTGTCATAATTTTGTGACACTAATCTGTTTAGCAATAAGTGACACCAAATTTTGTGTCACTTGCCCCGCTTTTCTGTGACACTTTCAGTGTGTCATTAAATCGTTTAGTGACACTAATTTAGTGTCACTATAAGCCATTTTTTTACTAGTGTGGTCTAGAGCTTACACAAAGCCAAAATTGTTGAATATGTTGTTTTGTTGATGACCAACCATGCAGGAACAAAGGATGGACCTGGTCTATAAACATATGTGAATTATTTGCAGGATAGACCTGGTCTTTAAATATATGTGATTACTCGTTGTGACTAACCATGCAGAGACCAGGACTAGAACTTCTCTCGGTTCTAAACGAGGCCTTTATTTAAATGATTATTTAAATTCTATGTTATGTGACGAATTACCTCTTAGGACAAATTAATACTACGTATATGGCCTAGAAGAATCAACATAGTACAAATTAATACTATCCTCCGTTCTCTTTTAATCCCAACATTGGACTTTTTGCATTATTCACATATTCTACTTTGACAATATTTTATTCATTAATGTATTATAAATTAATTTTTTAAAAAATATTATTAAATTCTTCTCATTCTAAATTTTCAAAATATGAATTTTTAAAATTTTTTACTAATACGGAATGAAAGATATTAATGGTCAAACTTGTTCGTTGACAAACGTGAAATGTTGACTGTTGCAATTAAAAGGGAACGGAGGAAGTATATGGCCTAGAATAATAATCCATAACGTGGATGGACTTAAGGAGTGTTTGCACTTCCTTAAAAAAAGTGCTTTTGAGCTTTTGGATTAAAAAAAGTTGAAAAGAGTGTTTTCAAATGATAGCTTCTGCTTAAATTAATCACTTTAAAGCTAAAAGCTGGAAGCAGGTGGAAGGGTGCTTTAAACTGCTTTTCACTTTTTCTATTACTTAAAAAGCACTTATTTTACCAAACACTACCAACTTTTACTTTTTCAGAATCACTTTTTTCTCAAACATTACCAACTTTTACTATTAAGTACTTTCTCCAAAATCACTTTAAAACATCACTTTTTAAAAGTAGAAGCAATCGCAAACACTCCTTTAACTCCTCTGCCGAGAAAAATACGAAGCAAACAAATATCTAGCTTCTGTTAAAATATGTGGGCCATGTAGGGTGTAAACTTGAGCATCCAAGTATTCATAATATGCCAAGTGTCATCCTAGTCATTGATAAGTCTGTATTTAGACACGCATTTGATGCGTGTCCGGGTCGGATTTTGATGGTTTTCCTGGCTTTAAGGCATTGCAAGTCTCAATTTTGGCTCAAGTTGTGTTTAGCAGGCGTTGGATCGAGTTTCATTGCATTTGGAGTTGATTTGAAGAAGTTAGAGACCGACATCGGCGCTTAGAGAAGCAATCGGGAAGAGTTGGAGAACATTCGAGAGAGATTTGAGAGTTTTGGAGGCCACCGGAAGGTTCACGGCGAAGATTTGATGAAGAAACGACCTTTGGATTGATTAAAGAAGTATCCGGGAGCAAACAGGGAAGAAAATAGCAAGAAAACGGTTCTAGAGCAATCCGCGCGCCCCGCGGTGCGGTTCCGCACACCCCGCGGGTGATTCTGAGAGCAAGAATTCAAGAAGTCTGAACCGCACTATGTGCGGCCGAAACCGCACACCGTGCGGCCGAAACCGCACACCGCGCGGCCGAAACCGCACACCGCGCGGTCCAGAAATAGCCCCCAGAAGTACCCGCGCGGTTGCATAGTGCGGCGCCCGCACACCGCGCGGGCGGAGCGAAAGTCAGAAGACAGAAAAACGCGCGCGTGACCGCGCGGTGACCCGCACTACGTGCGGACGACCGCGCGGCCTGATTTTTGGCCCGTTTTCGGATTTTTCTATAAATAAGCCCCTGTTTTGCCTGTTTTTGGGGATGAGCTTAGAGAGATAAACCCTATTTCGATTTTTGAGAGCTTTTCAAGCCTTGTTCTTCAAGATTAAGGGATTCTTTGTAAGTTCTATCTTTTTAATTAATGACAATTATTTCTATTCATCCCAATTCTGTTGATTCTTCAATTATGAATTGTGAGTAGTTTAATTAGGGATTTGGGATTGATGAAGGGGTTAATCATGATTGATGGCTAGATTCTTGTCGGTTTAATTGCATGAATGCCGTTTAATTTGTGTTTGAATAATTTAACTGATATCTTTTGTAACCTGGAACCGCGGCTAGAATTACAATTGCATGTAGAATGAATTAAGAGAGATCTAATTTATTCTAGGACACCTTCACACACACTTAATCGTTCGCTAAGAGATTAGTAGCGATTAAGGAGCCGTAAGCTCGCTCGTCTTGGCAATAATTTAGGATCCTGTCGCATGAGAGATCAGCCTGGTCCCCTAAATTATTGTACTCTACGCCGCGAGAGCGGTAAGAACTTAGTAATGATTAGCTAGGCTCAATTAAATTAAATTCATGTAATTAGGCGTGTTCTGCCAGAAATCTGATTACCCCAGAATCAATCCATGTTCCCTTCGTCATTAATTAGAAAGAACCCCCTAGTTTAATTGTTCGTATTAGTTTTATTTTCCAAACCAACCAATCTCGCACGACGCTTTTATTTTATTTTCTTTTTAATCGCTGAATTTAATTAATTCTTGATTCCCTTTTGTCCGTCCCTGTGGAGACGATACTCGTACTTTCAACCACTTTACTACATCATTTTTAAGTGCGAGAAAACACTCATCAGTTTTTGGCGCCGTTGCCGGGGACGGTGTCGGTTTTAAGGGTTAATTAATTTTAGCGAGATTTTTTTTAGTTAGTTTTCTTTTTGTTTTCCGTAGGATTTTTTCTGTGCTAACCTTTCAGGTATTTTTCAAAGAGGCATGAGATGAACCCATTCAGCCAAATTCCTGGAGGAAGTCCTTTTCCCCAAACCTCCATGGAATTTTCACCATATACGTCATACCTTCCTTACACTCCTCCTCCTCCTCCTCCTCAATATTACTCATCTCATCAAAATTATTCTCCTACACCACAAAATTTCTCATCTTCCTATTCTTACCCTCTTCCAAATACGCAATACTCTCAATCTCATTCTCCTAATCAATATCCTTATCCACAATATCCTCGGACAAAACCAGGCTCCATTATGGAATTTCTCATTCAAACTAAAAGTCCCGAGGAATTGGTTGATTACTTTCCTAAAAATAGCATTTGTAACTTCTGTGGAGGTGGTCACCATTCATGTCTTTGCCCCATTCCTCCATACGACCATCCTTACTGGGCAACTGCATACCCCACTTCGTCCTCCCCACAACTTACAAACACAAATGTTTCAATCACTCCTGCGTCTTTGCCGAGCTATGAGCCACAAGATTCAGACGACGAATGGGAAGAGATAATTTCAGAGAAGTTGTCTGACCTGGAAGAAACACTCAAGCAATTCATACAAGCTTCTGAGGTAAATAATCAACAAGCAAGTGCAAGGATGCAAAACATGGAAAATCACTTGGATCAGCTGTTTAAGGCTTTATTTGAGGAGTCCGAGAGATCCCATCCTAGCGACACAGAAGCCCAACCTGAGGAGACCAATAGGGATGATCATGTGATTGAGTCAGACTATGATGGTGGAAATATGATGGATGATACACTTCCTGATGCTTTTGAAGACCCTCCTATGTTTGAAGATGAAGAAGAAGATAATAGTGTGAAGTGGTTTTTCCAAGAATACAAGAAAAAGTTTGAAACGGTACAAGCTGTAACTGATGAAGTCACAAATCACTGTGATCTTCATACAGAAACTCCCCAGCCGTTTTATTTACCATTAGTCTCAACACCTGAGGATGGCAAGGAGCAGATTAGTCATGACCATTGTTCTAAAACTCGCTAGGCGCTAGTCGGGCGGTTGAGGGGCGCCTAGCGCCTAGGCGGCCGACTAGGCCGATTTTTTGGCCGACTAGGCCGACTAGGACTCTACGGTTAGGGCCGACTAGGCCGCCTAGGCCGATTAATCGGTCCGCCTAGGCCGATTTTTTGAACAGTGGTCATGACATTGATGCAGCCACTGAGGTAGGTTTGGGTACTGAAGATGAGTTGGGAAAAGATGATCACATGCTTCAAGAGTGTGGGGGCGAGGTAGATGATGTCCCTAACGAAGAAGTGCCGCTCCACAATTTCTTGGAGGATATTAATAAGAAGAGTGAGAAAACGAATTGGGATGCATTCTTGGAGAGCGATAGCGAGTCAAGAGGAGGTGCTCAGAATTTTCATGGTACATTCGAGCAAGGAAAGGAGGCGTTTGTGATACATTTTGAACATGAGGATGAGAGGTTCATACTTCACTTCTGTGCTAATAAGGGTTATGAAGACCGTGCGTTTCCTACGTGTTTTCAAGAATTTAAGAATCTGCGTCATCTAATGGCATTTGTTGAGAGGAAGCTGGAGATGTTGACTATTAGTGCACCACTGATGTCTTTGCTATTTGAGAGCATATGAGGAAGTTGCGTCGGGCAAACGACGTTAAAAATAGCGCTTCTCGGGAGGCAACCCGAGCTTATTTCTGCTTTTGTTTTTGTTTTTGCTTTTTTTGTGTTTGTGTTTTTGTGTCTGTTTTTGCAGCTCAGGGTCTTGCTTTGGGGATGATGTGCCGAGGATCACTTGACTGAGTTTAGTTCTGCACCGACCAGCCGATAAGGAAGTTTCCATGATTCTATTTATTCGATGCGTAATGTTAACTTGAGTTGATTTTGAGCACGTGTGACCCTTTCCTCTTTACCCCTAATACATAATGCATATTTGGTCATCGAGGACGATGCCA